CCAGAGTGGAATGACAGCCCCAGGGTGTAGCAGGAGTGTTCAGGGACTTCAATGAGAGACCACAAAGTGGAATGACAGCCCCAGGGTGTGGCAGGAATGTTCTGGGACTGGAATGACAGGTCCCAGAGTGGAATGACAGCCCCTGGGGGGAACAGATGTGTCCTGGGACTGGAATTACAGGCCCCATGGTGGAATGACAGCCCTAGGGGGTAGCAGGAGAGTTCTGGGATGGGAGTGACAGGCTGCAGAGTGGAATGACAGCCCAGGGGTGTAGGAGATGTGTCCTGGGACTGGAATGACAGGCCCCAGAGTGGAATGACAGCCCCTGGGGGTAGCAGGAGTGTTCTGGGACTGGAATGACCGACATCAGGGAGGGAAAGAAAGGCATTTAAATCCAACAGCTGACTGGCGGCCCAGGCTGTGTTAGGTTTAAATAAGACATTTTCAATATAGTAAAATGACCCCCCCCACAAAAAAGCCGGATAATTATGGCTTTTTTGGGTTCAGCTATACCAACAAGGTGTTTTTTGGGTCACGTTTTTGGCTCGGCTATAGCCGAATGCACACTTCTGGTCACAGAACACTCCTGCTACTCCCAGGAGCTGTCCTTCCACTCTGCAGCCTGTCATTCCAGTCTCAGGATGCATCTCCTACCCCCCTGGGCTGTCATTCCACTCCCGAACCTGTCTTTCCACTCCCAGAACACTCCTGCTACCCCCCTGGGCTGTCATTCTACTCTGCAGCCTCTCATTTCAGTCCCAGGATGCATCTCCTACCCCCCTGGGCTGTCATTCCACTCTGGAGCCTGTCTTTACACACCCCGAACACTCCTGCTACACCCAAGGGCTGTCATTCCACTCTGCAGCCTGTCATTCCAGTCCCAGAACACTCCGGCTACCCCCAGGGGCTTTCATTCCACTATGGGACCTGTCATTCCAGTCTCAGGAAACATCTCCTACACCCCTGGGCTGTCATTCCACTCTGTAGCCTGTCACTCCCGTCCCAGAACTCTTCTGCTACTCCCAGGACCTGTCCTTCCACTCTGCAGCCTGTCATTCCAGTCTCAGGATGCATCTCCTACCCCCCTGGGCTGTCATTCCACTCTGGAGCCTGTCTTTTCGCTCCCAGAACACTCCTGCTACCCCCAAGGGCTGTCATTCCACTCTGCAGTCTCTCATTCCAGTCCCAGAACTCTCCTGCTACCCCCGGGGGCTGTCATTTCACCTTGGGGGCTGTCTTTCCACTCCCAGAAGATGTCTGCTACCCCCAGGGGCTGTCGTTCCACTCTGGGGTCTATTCAGCCCCGTAGCTAGGGATTATTTGGGGAGGGGGCCTGGGGGGCCTCAGCTAATTAAATAAAAGTTAATCATATTAATTCAATTTGGGACTTGCCCGGGAGAGAGGGGCCCCAGAAGAAATGCTAGGGGGCCAGGCCCCACAGGCTCCACGTTAGCTACGGGCCTGGGCCTATCACAGGAGAATGACAGCCCCTGGGTGTAGCAGATGTGTCCAGGGACTGGAATCACATGCCCAAGAGTGGAATGACAGCCACTGGGGTTAGCAGATTTGTCCTGGGACTGGAATCACTCCAGTCCCAGGCGGTGTTCCCTCTAAGCGGAGTCAGTGTGAGCTAGCTCACACTGACTCCGCTTAGAGGGAACACCGCCTGGGACTGGAGTGATTCCAGTCCCAGGACAAATCTGCTAACCCCAGTGGCTGTCATTCCACTCTTGGGCATGTGATTCCAGTCCCTGGACACATCTGCTACACCCAGGGGCTGTCATTCCACTCTTGGGCATGTGATTCCAGTCCCTGGACACATCTGCTACACCCAGGGGCTGTCATTCCACTCTTGGGCATGTGATTCCAGTCCCTGGACACATCTGCTACACCCAGGGGCTGTCATTCTCCTCTGGAGCCTGTCATTCGAGTCACAGAACACTGCTCCTACCCCCAGGAGCTGTCATTCCACTGTGGGGCCTGTCATTCCAGTCCCAGAGTAGTGTATTTGAGACCAGAGACCTTAATGAATAATCCATTATGCCTTTTCTTTGCAACTCTTCTTGAGCTGTAATGTATTTCACTGGAGCCCATTCAAGTCAATTGGCATTCCTGTCTCCCATTACTTCAAATGGGCTTTCAAGTCTCTCCCATTGTTTCCAATGGGCAATCCTGTCCTTCCTTTTAGTACATCCCGCCACTGGGCTCTCTTTATGACCAAGGTTTATTCGGGTACAAGCTCTCTCTCCTCTGTGAGGGCAGATCTGTGCCTTCCCCCCATAGCTATCAATCCATAACAGTCCAATGGCACCTTTAAGACCAAGATTTATTCAGGTACAAGCTCTCTGTCCTCTGCGAGGGCAAATGTGTGTGTGTCCCCCCCCGCCAATAGCTAGCAATCCAAAGCAGTCCAGTGGAGCCTGAGCGGTGGGTGTTGTCTTCTGGCACACATCCGGTAATGTCAGGGGGTGTGGCATATGCAAATAAGTTATGCTAATGAGATATGCTAATGAGCTCCTGCACCTCTTTCTCTATGAAATGACCCCTGTGGAGGAGCACTAGTAGCTACAGCAACTGAAGTTACCTGAAAGAAGCAATGACAAGCTCTGCTGTTTTGACAAAGAAGGAGAGGGGCAGCTGTGGAGCAGCGCAGGTGCTGGAAGCAGCGGGGGGGGGGCACTGAAAGTCTTCTGCCAGCTCAGAAGCTTTTAAGAAGTCCTAGATATGAGCTTACATGCTGAAGTTTGTGATAAAGGCTGTCTTGGGTAGCTCCACTTCAAAAAGTGCCTCCTGGGATACATTCGCTCTGTTGGCAACTTTGCTGGTGATGACTGTGTGCGCAAATCGTGAGGTAACTTTGCTGTCCACATGCAGGCTGTAGATTTCAATGGCATTCTAGGGAAGAAGAAGAAGAAGATGAAGAATTGTTTTTTGTACCCCACTTTTCTCTACCTTAAGGAATCTCAAAGCAACTTACAATCGCCTTCCCCTCCTCTCCCCACAGCAGATACCCTGTGTGGTAGGTGGGGCTGAGAGAGTTCTGAGAGAACTGTGACTGACCCAAGGTCACCCAGCTGGTTTCAGGCAGGGGAGAGGGGAATCAAACTCATTTCTCCAGATTGGAGTCCACTGCTCTTAACCACTACACCACACTGAAAAGGGTGATAAGGGTTCTATTTATGGTATCTCAGTTCAGCTTATGTTAGTGTGCAACTGGTGGCTTGATAGAGAAATCATCTTCAACAGTCTACTTCAGATACAAAACAAGTGTCATCAAAAAGCCAAATTATTCTTTGGAAAGCTGAAATGAAAAAATTATAAAATATCTCTCCTTGCTTTTTAAGTGTTTGGGTATTTCTGCATGAAAATACAGTTCAGCATTTTCTTTGTTGCTGACATGCTTTCAGCTGAAGTGCTCCCACAAGTGGCTGCTTTCCTCCACTTTTTTCTGTGTGTTGAAACTTGGAGGGGTTCTTGAGGAGAAGCACCAGCAGCTATGCTGTAAATCTGGTGCCTCTACCTCAAAAAACAGCCCCCCCCAGAGCCCTAGATACCCCCAGATCAATTCTCTATTATAGCCTATGGGGCCAATTCATTATAATGGTCCCCATAGGCTATAATGGAGAAGGAAAAAATAGGGATTTTTGCACAGCCTTATTGTGCTTTTCAGTATGATTTGTCAGCTGCCTTGAGTCACAGTAAAAGTGGGAGATAAATATTTGAATAAATAAGCAGTTTGGACAGGTTGATAACATTTAAGCAAACTTCCAGTTTGTTAGGTTAGGCAGGGTTCTGACCGTGTTAGTTCCTCCTCTATTATACTTGACATATAATTTGTTATATTTCGCCTGAGGGGTAGCCATCTTACTTTCTTTTTAAATATATATTTTATTGGTTTCCCAAACAAAAAAGGAAAAAACAATGTAAAGAGAGTAAAATCTTGTGTTACATTCCGTTCATATCTCTCCTATGTAGCTTATAACAAAGAGTTTAACTAATAAACTAATCTTATTTGCAACAATAAGTGTCAAACAATACATTAGTAAATTCAGTTATCTAAACATTCTATCCATATTTTTCTTTAGTAATATATATTCAAAAGCTCTTACTATGAAGTTTCCATATTTTTCCACTTGTTCTACCTTTAATAATGACATTTCATTTTTATTTCTTCTTAGAAGTTCACTTTTTCCTACAAAGCACATATATACATATCTATTTTCCATTCTGCCATACTATTTTATCATTAATAAGTTAAAAATAAAGGATCATTCTTTGTGGTTTGGAATCACCTTAGAGTCTATCTTTTTTACCATTTTACTCCACATCCTATCCTATGGCTCATTAAGTTTAATTTCTTAATACAAAACACATAACTCTAGCTATCTATTTTTTATTTTTATTTTTTATTCTAGTGTGCTAATATATTATTGATGGAAATGAATGTTAAGAATCTTTCTTTAAGGTTTAAGTTCACCTTATAATCTATCTTTCCCAATTTTGCTCCACTTCCTTACTCTAACACCTTTCTCTTTCTCATTTCTTAGCAATAGAATAGTCCTTCTATTTAATTACACTTTGATATAAGTGAAGCCAATCTGTTTAGTTACATTTCAATAAAGCCATCTTATAAAGAGAGTGGTAAAGATTTCTTCTTAAAATTTTGTACATAGATCTTGATTTTTTTTCCCTTTTGTCAGATATCTTCTCATCAGTAGGATTTTATCTTTGTGTCTTTTTCCCTTGTAGACCATATAGGTTTGGTTTAAAGCTGGCAGTGTGAAGCTTAAGTTAATTTTTGGTTGCCTGTTTTCTTTCTTCTTTTCATTCTGAGATGAAGCTGTAGTTGTCTTTGTTAGGTTCTTGTCTCTGTGCCTTTTCCCTTTGTACACTTCATTAATTTGCTTTAAAATTTGGAATAGCGCTTAATTGCATGTTTTTTATCCTTTTTTCTTTCTGAGATAACTTTAATTTTACAGATTTAGTTATTTTGGTAAGTAACAGTCTCTTAGATTTTTAAGAACTTACTTCCTTAATGACATTAACATCTTTTTTCCCCTGTAAATGTCTTTTTATAGAACATCTTCCTCTGTCTAGATGAAGCATCCTCTTGCTTATAGTTTTGTTCTCTGTCTCTCAAAATTTGGTGTGGCAATTTGTCAGTATTGCTTATAAGTTTCCTTAAAATAGTTTAGCTTTCATCAAATAATTGAACATGAGTTTCTTTAATTACTGACTTAATTGTATCAACAATCATATATTTGAGATCATCCCATGAAAACTGGGTCAACTTTTCCTCATCATAGTTAACTATTTCCACTGGCTTTAGCTCCTTTTCCAATTGGGAATCCATTGTATAAACAATATCTATAGTCCCCATACATGAGAAGATGGGAGTATTTTCCCTGCTAAACTTCTAGGAGCCTGTAATGTACTCCGCCATGACCACGTGCGCGACCGTTGGGCCACGCGATCAAGCAGAGTCCTGAAGCTTCGCTCCTCAAGAACAATAGCCGAGCGGATCCTAGCCCGCACCTATCAGAGGGCCAGGTCCGCAGCCGAGAGCCTATGGGACTCTCGGCTACTGTATATAGCCTATAGGGAAGTAGGGGATGTGTTTTGGTGGTGGGTTTTCTGTGCATATAAACCGGCCTGCGAGCCGGCTTATTTTGTCCTGTTCCATCCGAATAAAAGTACTTTGCTGAAATCACTCAGCGCTTCTCAGTACTTTTCAGAGCCAAACCACATTGCTAGAAAGTTGCTATACTAGATATTTTTGCAACCAAGAATCTTCAACCATAGCAGGTAATAGTTATTATCTAGTGCCTTATAACACAGATTGAAAAACTAACTAGTTATAACTTACCTTTGACTCCCGAACTGATGCTGCTTCACCTATGGCCTCCAGATCGACCTCCTGAAAATACAAGAAAATTAATCAACATTTTATTAACTACAGCCAAATCAACAATAGCAAAAAACTGGAAAAATAAAAAACCTCCTATGGTAAACCAATGGATACATAAGACTTGGGATATATTTATACTATAAAAATTTTCAATATATGATACCATGCACCAAAACGAATGTGAATTTTAAAATGCACTCACTATATGGTTCCCAATACTGGACAAAATATCTCTACATAGTTTCGACTGGGAAAACATCTCCGAAGCTAAGTACAAGATAATGCTTTATAATTAAAAGTGAGAACTATTATGTTATTTCTTTAACATCGTAATATTGACTGTTTTTTCATATATTATCAAATAAAAGGTTTTGGTTGATAAGTGTTAAACTTTATACTTCACCTGCCATCCAAAAAGTTTTTATCTGTAAATTTTTGCTTTATCTCTATGTAACCAACCCGTATTCTTTTTTGTTTAATGGTTTGTATCATTGTTTTATTGAAAGTTAATAACATTTCTATTTAAAAAAAATTATCCAGTGCCTTATGAGCTCAGCAGACTTCAAGAACGATGATAGTACACCCGGAAGTTGTCTTAACATATATGCAAACCCCATTTTAAATGTCTCTATATTTTCTTCTCTTCATAGTAGAACTCAAGGGCTTATTCAATTATAGTTCCAATACCAAATAATAGAATGGTCAGATAGCAATGTTTGTATTCCCCATTTTTTTCATTTTTAAATCTTTAAAGAGCTTTGTATCCACAACTTTTACCAGCCGTTTGCTTTGAGGACAGGGAGGGGAAAATATCACTCCTCCTTTCCTCGCCTTTCTGGATCCTGGGGTTTATTCCAATTCCAATAACCTTTATTGGCGTAACAGGGGGCTTATTCAAAGAGTCTCCAGATTCTTTATTGTTGCGTTATTAAATGTACTCACAATATCTTCACCAGTGTTGGAGGTGAGGCATTAGGCTCTCTTAGTTCACAGCTAATGCAGTCATGGCAGACCATGACTGCGCTGCTCCGTACTTTCGCTTTGGGACAGACCTGGCCTTGGACCATCGCCCTGGTATGTTTTCTAAGGCTCAGCACAGTGCGATGGTCCAAGGCCAGGTCTACTGGCTGGTAGCACTGCTTTTCTGTCATACCTTTCTTCACTGGTGAGGTACAGATATCAACCTAGCAGGATAATACAAAGTGATGTTCCCAGGACAACAGCGTTCTACCTTTTCTAGACTTGAGGCTAAATTATAACCCTCCTCCCAAAACAAGCAAATCTCTAAGTTTACTGGCACCCCAGACTAACCCCCATTAAAGCAAGATGGGGGAGGAGGGCCTGTCTCCATGCTTCTCTTCCTGTTTCACTCACATATCCTGTCTTGCCTTCTGAGCCCCTGATGCCTGGCTATGTAAAATCCTTCCCTCGAAAGCTCCTTGGGTTAGAAGTCAGTGTTCCCATAAATACCACCAGTCTTATCCTCCTCCCCTGATTCCAGCCATTCTGATGATCTCTGGTCTCCCAGAGAATTGGGAACTGTTTGTGTGTGAGTGAAAGAGTGAGAGGAGCATGGAGCCAGTTTCTCCCCACCCAGCACTAATCCCCCTGTAACCTGGACTGTCCATTAGCAGTCAGAAAGAATGTAGCTTTCCTAAGCAGTCACACAGCCAGCCCATTAAAGGGGGGGGGGGAGGATATTTGATAGCTAAGCATACCATTCTACTGGAAGACAATCCCCCCCCCAGGAAAAAATGCTCAGTTTATGGTTACTTGCTACAGCAGTATACCAACATGACAGCAAGGCTTCTTCTTTTTTAAGTAAATGGCAGGTGCATCAGTTCACAGTGGGGGACTTACACTGGAATGCACATGGCTGCTGATCGTTAACAATGCCTTATCCAGTTCCAGGGAAGCAGTGCAAGTTGGTTGGGTGCTGCAGTCATAGCACTGTGCACTGGACAGAAATTACTTACATCAGATTGCACATGGCTGCTGGTTGTTAAAACTGCTTATTCAGTTCCAGGGAAGCAGCACAAGTTGGTAAGGTGCTGCGGTCATAGCAGGGTGCACTGGGCAGAAATCCATGCCACACACCTGGGCCATTGGGAGATGGTACTCAGGGATATCCAGGACTTACATCAAACAACACAGGTGAAGGATTGTTAACAATGCCTTATTTAGTTCCAGGGAAGCAGCGCAAGTTGGGAGTGGCACCAGTGCACCACACGGAGGCAGATTTGAAAGTGCTACAGGCAGGGCTCCCAACCACAACCATTCTTTGGTCAGTCTGGCTGGGCCCCTGGACATGAGGGACTGCATGGGCATCAATGTGGTGTGCCAGGTGGAAGCAGATTTGAAGACGCTATGGGTAGAACTCCCAACCATGACCATGCATTGGCCAGTCAGGCAGCCTGGAGTGGTGCTCTTCACATGGGCCAAGCACCAAGAAAGGGGCAATGTGGCAAAGGTGACAATATGCCTCACTGAACTTCCTACATGTCACAACATTGGTGGTATCAGCATGGGCCCGGCTCCATTCTCTGGAAAGCTGGCCTGCAAGCCCATTTTCCCATGTAAGGGGATCTCCATATGGGATCCTGGGGTGAGGGTTTCAAGAGGAATGCCCAGCTTGGGGGTACTGCCAGGGATTACCCTCATGCTCAGGTGGTAGAGGAGTCCACTTTGGAATGGCCGCGACCTGTCATCCCTTGGTTCCTACGACCCCAGACAGTGGGCTAGGGTGGATGGAGGAACATTGACTGGCAGGTGGAGCAGTCCATGACCAGGATCTGGCACCCAATGCTGTACCAAGGCTTCTTACATCTGTAACCAACAAAATTGTGGGCAATGGTATTCACCCAGAAAGGGGCAATGTGGCAAGGAGGTGACCATGCTTTGGTTGGGTGGCCTGGAGCGGTGCTCTTGGTGTGGGCCAAGCACCCAGATAGGGCCAATGTGGCAAGGAGATCAGTGACCGATTGCTTCTTGGCCTTTTGGCTAAGATCAAGTGTGTGTGTAGATCAGTGACCATGCTTGGGTCAGACTGGCTGGAGCAGCACTCTGTGATGTGACCAATGTGGCAAGGAGGTTGGTGACCGTGCTTGAGTTGGATTGGCTGGAGCAGCACTCTATGATGTGGTATGGTATGGAGGATGAGGACATCTGGCTACAGGGGGTTGGGTATGGCCTGCAGATTTGGCTACAGCTGTAGGAGCATTGGCAAGAGCCAGGAGGGTGGATGCCTGGCTCTTGTGGTGGTATCAGCATGGGGCCAGATCCATTTTGGGAAAACTGACCTGCGTGCCCATTTCCCCTACATGTGGGGATCTCCTTAAGGGATCCCAGGGTGAAGGCTTTCACCCTAAGGTGGCAGGCGAGACCACTTTGGGGCAATCGCCCTTGTGGAATCCAGCAACCTGTCAGCCTATGGTTCTTCCCATCCCAGCAAGTGTGCTAGGTGTGACGACTACATTGACTGGCAGGCAGGTCAGTTGATGCCAGGATCTGGTGAACCCATTCTGTGTCAAGGTTTCTTACGGCTGTAATCAATAAAAGTTGTGGCCATTTTATTGCACATTTTATCCACTGTATGTGATTGTATTATTGGTGGGCTGTTGTAAGTGGGTCATCGCCTTCACTGCCCTCTCCCTGTGGCTGCAAATGCTGTATTAAGCAGTTAATAGTACACTAACACTTTAGTCTGGATTAACAGATTAATTTCCATATATACAATACATGCATGACCTCAGCTTTCAACTACCTTGGGCGCCATTGCCTCTACTTCAGGAGGCACTAGTTATGATCCCTCTAGCAAGCCATCTCACATTGCACTGCTACAGAACACTATTTCCCACGTTTCTATGAACTTGAAGCTCAGAGCAAAGCACTGGATTGTTCATTCCTATAGACATTGGAAGAACCCAGAATGCCCTACCCTAGAGTTCAATAAACCATAGGACTAACAGTCACCCCCCAAGCCATGGGACAGTAAACCCATCCTAGATGCTTGGCAAATATTCCCAGGACTGCTTTAAAACAGGGAAAAGGTAAGTATTCCACTAACAATGAGAAGACATTTGACCTTATTTCAGGATGAATGTTTAACCATCTCCATAATTCCATCCAATCTAAATGGTTAATGTAATTGAGGCACTTGTGCCTTTGAAAAAATATGCTATTAACATGCAGCATTAACATGTTAGCATAGGTACAAACTTACTGTTTCTCTTTTCCCACTCTTCACAGCATTAGACCCACCCATCTCTAAGAAAGGTTTACACAAGGTTAGTAACTGACCTCTGATAATAGGCTGAAGTCTCCCTCTTATAGGGTGGGAAGAAACACAGACAATTAGACCACTCAAATATGGTCCAGGACAACATTAGATAGGAGGCTTGCTGAACTGGTTCTCAGAGAGTTTGGAAATTCACATGAAAGTAGAAGCGGTTTTTGGACTATTTCCACATATTTCTAAATCTTGGCACCATACCAAATGATAGAACGGAAGTTTAAACAAACAAGAATCAACTGGTCTTCATACAACAGGTATGAATTTACTCAACCGCTAAAAGTGAGAAGAGCATTCTAGACCTTACCTCTGCCATATACTCTTACCTTCAGAGCAGCACAGGGGAACTGTGACAAGTACGTCATTACAGAGTATTCATCCACATCTGGGTGAATAATTTCTTCAGGAGTGATGACCTGACCGACATCAATTACAGCACAAATTAACCAGAAGTGGAACTCACCACACACATTCTCACACAGCTGAATTACTTTGTTCTCTTAAACACTGACCATGCCTTAGTGAATAGCCCCCTTATGAGCAAAGGGGTTGTTACAGCACTACAAGTAGGAGCCTACAAACTGAATGAGGTGGTGGAACAAACCTCTATGTAGCCTCCTGTGCCACTGAGGCTTAGTAAATCCTTTGTAAACAGAAAGTTCAAGATTCAATCTGAAGCACTTCCAGTCAAAGAACCTCAGGTGGCAAGTGATGGGGAAGTTCCTTTTTAGCTAGACATGCTGGAAAATGGCTACCCATCAGAGTAGACAACACTGATTGAGATGGACCACTGGTATGACTTGACACAAGGCATTAGCATGTGGTCAAAAGCTGCTCCTGAGGGTCAGAGGAACACAGAACATAGCAGGGTACTACACAGGAACTGCAGCTTGAGAGGGCAGCAGCAGAAGTCATCCTTTTCCTCTTATGAAAATGTGAACTGAAGAGCTTGTGCAAGGAAGAGAGCAAGAAAGACAGTTCTTGCTTCAGGCCCATATACCCCATTGAGTCTGAAGGATCGCCTGACCAGATCCCCAGCTTTTCTAGGGAAAAACAGATCTGTTGGTGAGCTCCTTGACACCACATGTACTGTAGGACTCATCCCTTAAACTTTATACATGTTATTAAAGATAGCATACAGAAAGCTACTAAAGCCTGTCACAAGGAATACCCAGGAAGTTTTGATGGTACATACTTCCAACAGACCATCACTTAAGGAAGTCGTACTAAATGTATTCAGAAAAAATTGTGTTCCACTGATTTCCCCAAGGGAGTTCTAAACTTGTGCACTCCAACAGAAAAGGCTTGGTCACATGTGTAGTTCCTTATAAGCTGCTCTAGGGGGCGATGGCACATAACATTACAACAGACAGCACAGAGATTACTACTTTCAGCTCACAAGGTATTTCCCCCTCCATTGGAAACAATGGAGGATGGAGGCACCTCCTCCTGGGGCCCATAGAATTGGACCCCCCGTCCAATCTTTTTGAAACTTGAATGTTTTTTTAGGAGAGAAACCAGCAGCTATGTTACAAATTTGGTGCCTTTACCTCAAATAACAGCCCCCCCCCGAGCCCCAGATACCCCTGGATTGATTCTCCATTATAGCCTATGGGACCCATGGAGCCAGAAAAAATGGTTTTTTTTGGCACACCCCTATTATGTTTTTCAGTATGATTTGTAAGCTGCCTTGAGTAACAGGGAGAAGTGGGATATAAATAATAAATAAGTAGTTTGGGCAGGTTGCTAACATTTAAACAACTTCCTGTTTGTTAGGTTAGGCAGGGTTCTAACAGTGATTTTTCCTCCTCTGTTATACTTGATCTGTAATTTGTCATATTTCACTAAAAACACAAAGTAGACTGCAAGAGTGCCCCCCGAGTGCTGGTATGTTTTCTAAGGCTGAGCACAGCGTGATGGTCTGAGGCCAGGTTTACCAATATAGTGGACTGGGGCGGGTAGACCTGTTTTTCAGAGGCCACATCTGCCAATGCAGTAGAAAGGGGTGGGCTGACCTGTTGTCTGGAGGCCAGGTCTACCAATATAGTACAAAGGGAATGGCAGACTTGTTTTCCAGAGACCAGGTCAATCAAGATAGTGGAAAGGGGTGGGTAGACCTGTTCTCCAGAGGCTAGGTCTACCAATATAGTGGAAAGGGGTGGATAGACCTGTTCTCTGGAGGCCAGCTCTACTAATATAGTGTAAAGGGAAGGGTAGACCTGTTCTCCGGAGGCAAGGCCTAGCAATATAGTGGAAATGGCTGGTTGAAATTTGTCTTGATTCAGTTTTCTCTTATAATTTTAAAATTATTCTTAAAATATAGTTTAAATAAAATTTTAAATAATTCTGAGATTTTTACAAGGTTATGAAAGTAATCTTCTAAAAAACTAATTTACACAATAGTCAAAAGTAGACTCACAACTTTAATGTTACTAGGGGTTTTTTTGCTCATGAGGTAGAATTTCTGCTCACAACACTGTGGAGCTTAGAGGGAACACTGACATGTGCTCAGTCTTGCCTGTGTTAAAGTGTGTTACACCAGCCTCAGATCTCAAACCATGTTCAAGTTCATATTGGTAAAAGTGGTCCTTGTGCCCCATACCTGTACTTCACATGAACTGTTACCATGTACTTAGTCTTCATATGACTTCATTGGCAGCCTTCATATAAGGGGGAGCATACCAAATTTGCCACTCAGAATGCTTTGCAAGGATAGGATAAAAATGTAGTTTAGAATGTAAACTGTGCAGGGATGGATGTGGAAGACTTGGTCTAGTTTTACATCTGGCCTGTAAAAGTCTAAAAGCCCTATTCTGCGGGGGTTTGGGGAAAAACAATAAGTTTTATACCATGCTGCCTATTATATTTAGTAATATTTAATTTGGTGCTCTAGTATTTATTAGCTGCTACATTCATGTTTTTGCAGTCCAATGTCTTAACTTGTTTATGCGTTTAAGTCTAATTTCCTGTATTTATTGGTTTGTATCCTTGAAGATCTGCAAATGGAGTGCATCTTGTGAAGCAGAACTTCCTCACCTCCCCCCCTGCGGCAGCTCACTGAGCCCCCCCAAATTTTGTTCTGAGGGGGTCAGTATCTCCCCTTCACGAACAGCATCACAGCAAATGGGGAAAAGTCAGCAGAAATAGATGGTAGGATACAACTCATTATTTTGTACAATGAACTCTAATATCACATTTGTAATAGAAAGCCAGGATACACATTTTCTAAACATAAACAAGAATGCTATATCCTAGAGAGGCTGCTTTTGGCAGCACTCATGATGATTAATATATGCTCTGGCCTAAGCCCTCTAAGCAGAGATAGCACCTGCACACCACTGGGGCCAAGGATTCATACTTCAAAAACTCCTAAGCAGAACTAGTTGTGCTGTTCTTACTCATTGCTAGGAAGTACAGCTGAACCAAGTGGCCCACAACAAGCATTATACTATGTTCTATTAACTTGCTACAATAGCCTCACTACTTGGCAAACTATTTCCCTGCCGAACTGGCCTAGCAAGGATCCTGTTCCATGATTTTCATACTTCAGCAGATCATTTAGTTTCTTTTTCAAAGAGCTAGGTTGAAAGAGACAAAGAACTAACTGTGTTGCCCTAGAATCAACATGCAGCTTTAATTTTGCAGTTCTACATCCAATACAGCGGATACTTTGAGCTTCAAACCACCAGCAAAGCTCAGGATAAAGTATAAGGCAGAAGTTTTTTTCTTCAGTCATGAAGTCCACTTTTGCTTACCTGAGGCACACCCAACCAGTCATCAGCTTGCTGCATAGCTTCACGAACATTATCAAGAGGTTTTTTCGGGTCCCAGGCTTCCCAGTTTGGGCAGAGACCTAAAAGGAGAATTCTTAGACTTAAGCCTTACTGCATTTCACTTTTGGCCAAGATAAACACTAACTGGGCATTCTACTCACACCTGTTCAGAAGATAGAAATATATAAGTACACCTCCACTGCAGTGAAGTTAAAAACCAACAGCCATGGCAAATTTTCAGTTGAATACTTCCTAGTGTAGAATTTATTTCTTCCTAAATTAGAGAAGTTCTACAGCCTGCTGAATTGTGCTGAGTACAAGCTGGACATTTCACAGATGAAAGAACCAAGGCCAATGCAGGCTCAATGCCATCTAGAGATCCCTCTAACTATTTACTAGATTACATCAGCTGCTAGGCTCCAGCACTCAGTTCTGCCACCCAAGAGATCTTTCTTCTAATAAAGGTCTATTCACTCTATCCTGGCAAAAGATAATTTGGGACCCAAGAAGCATAGCAGGAAGAGTTTTTTTCCTAATTAAGTCTAGACTAAAAAAATTGGAAGGACCAAATGGTATGAAACTCTGAAGATGGCAAACACCAACCTAAGTTGCTTTACAATGCTGATTTTTAAACATAGATTTATTAGAAGGCTTAGTAGTAGACTCTTAAATTACAGAACACCAAATACAGGAAGACAAAAAGTTTACATCAATGATCTCTGTTCACTTGAGTGCAACAGCATTGGTAGCCAGTGTGATGAGACAGCTCTGCTATCAGAAGCACAAAGATGCTGCATTTTTCTGTAGTATTTCTCTAGTATTTCAAACACTTATGCAATACTTCCTGGAGTTGAAAATCAGTTGTTCAATAATAAACGTGTAGTAATATAATTAGATATTTAGTAATCATTCTATGACTTTAGCCTTTAGGAGCCATGGTGATGCATTATAACTAGGGGTGTGCACTCGGTATATATTGAACTGAATAAATATTACCTTATTGGTATTTTTCAGGTATTTATTCAGCTGAATACAGATCAGAGATCTGTATTTGGCTACCAAAGTATCTGCCCCCGAATAAAAGTCAATATTATTCAGTTTTAATTCAGGCTCGGCTACTTGTCGAGTCCTGCAGTCCCTGCCACACGAGGGCCCAGTGAAGGGAAGGTATTTAAACTTTAAATACATTCCCTTCCCTTCCCTTCCCTTTTGGGCTTGTATGGCTCTGCTGCATGCATCCGCAGAGAAGGGAAGATGTTTTAACTTTACGTACCTTCCCTTCCCTCTTGGCTTACGCTGCCTCTGTGGCACAACTACCCAGTGAAGGGAAGATATTTAAAGTTTAAATACCTCCCCTTCACTGGGAAGTTGCACCGCAAAGGCAGCATAGACTTGAGAGGGAAGGGGAGGTGTTTAAAGTTAAAATATTTTCCCTTCACTCACCAAATCGTGCTGCAGCACGGTGAGTGAAATTCTTCATTATACCCTCTGGGGGCTGCCCCCAGAGGGTGTAATGGATCTGAATATGTTAGGGTTCTTGAAGATTGACCCGAATACCAGTGGAATACCGATACTGGTATTCAGGCATATTCAGGTATACAGATATTTTTTGAGTCCAACAGACCTGAATCCGAAATAACTCGATTTTTTTTTTTTGCGCACCCCTAAGTATAACTTATAGTCCCCTCCAGCAGTGTTTGGATTCTCTCAATATGAATATTTCACTAAAATCTCTTCAGCCTGCTTGTGATTTTAGGGGCAGCTTCCATGCCACTAGCTTTCAAAGGAAAGCCACCAAATGACCAAACTATTAGTGCCATTAGGAAAGAATGGAAATATGGACGTAGAAGACCCACCTGGAGCACAGCTATCAACAAGGGCACCCAGTGCTTTGCCATCCTGCCAGTTTTGGTTGAAGTTAGTTATCGGCAAGTAGGGGATTTTGTTCTGAATCCAGCCTAGTAATCTCTGCTTTGGAGTCTGTTGCTTGGCATTGTAATATCCTTCATATTCCTTCACAGGCATAGATACTGAATAATGGAGGATAAGAGTCCACACTAGCCCTAGGATTAGTTTCAAGTTACCATCAACAATAGCTTTACTATCTGAAAAAGAACACATAATCAGGAGCTTAATAGTGTAAAATAATGCATTTAGTAAGCTGAAGATATACTTTATACACATGAAGCTGCCTTACACTAAATCAGATCCTTGGTCCATCATGGTCAATACTGTCTACTCAGTCTGGCAGTTGCCTCTCAAGGGTCTCAGGTAGAGGTCCTTTGTATCTCCCACTAAATTATCCTTTAAACTGGAGATGCTTGGGGTTGAGACCTTTTACATACAAAGCAGATGCTTTACTACTGAGACACAGCCTCTCTGACTTTAGCAGTAAATCATGTTGAATTGTATTGAACAGGTTAGCTGGCCATCATCTTGATGAAAATGAGTGACATGTACCTTCTCCACCACATAAACCCAAAGCCTTCTGCTAGGTTAAGTGTACACAAAATGTCTGTATAGTTTCACTAGGCAGCTGCTGTAGTGATAACTGGTGGCCAGCTATGCCCATTCTTTCGCAGGCATCTAAAAAGGTTGACAACTCTTCACTCATTCATTCTTGGGGATGATTGTTTAAACTGTTCAGTACTTCACCCACCTTTCTATGTTTAACTATTTCATGCTCAGTTAATGAGACTCACTGCCACAAAGTACAGGCTAAAACAAACTAGGACATTTGAAATCTCCCATGTTTTTAAGTATTCAAAATGGCTGGCACACAAATTATAAGAAGTAGAAGCTTCCACTGGACAACAAAAATCTGCTTTTACAGATGACTGTATTTTTTAAAATTTGGGCCCTATTTTGTGCACTGCATTCACATCTATAGAAGTCTACCCTTCTTATGCATTCCCAAATATTTCTAAATGCCAATGCTGGCATTGTATTCAGGTTTGGGAAATATTTGGGATTCCTAAATATATCCTGGTCCATTAGACCCTATGGGTCCATTATAGTCAATGGCAAAATCTCATAGAGTATATTCAGTGGGATGGTGGTACAGGATTTGAAGTAGAGACAACAAATTTGCAGTGTAACTGCTGGAGCCTCTCCCCAAAAGGACACCCAAGTTTAAAAAATATTGGACCAGGGGGTCCAATTCTATGGGCACCCAAAGAAGGTGCCCCAATCTTCCATTGTTTTCAACGGTGGGGAAAAAGTTAGCAAGGCAGGCAAGCCAGCAGTCAGATTCTCCCAGAGAATCTCTGAAGTAGTAAAGTGTGGAGAGAGGGTCTTTTTGTAAGCCCAGCAGCAGAATCAGTGTGCCCAGCAGAAACAGTGCCATTATGCCAGTGCCAAGCCAAGCCAGCCAACAGGACTAAAGTCAAATCTGAGAATCTCTGAATCAGAAACTGAGGGGCAGGCATTTTTGCCACCATATTTTTATTAGGTTTTCAAAATAATAATTGTCTATAGTTTACACTTTTAAACACACACACCATCTAAATACCTAGTCTTGCAGAAAAGAATTTTTTTTACAGCAATTCAACATAGAAATTACATTTTTCTTATATACAGCCCACAGAACAACTCCAACCTAGGTACAAGCAATGAATGAAAATGTTTATCAAGATATAATTACTTAATCTGTTAAACAATGTTCCTTTTCTTGATAATTTTATAATTTGTTTAACAATTTAACATTCAACATCAACTTTTTCCTCACAAGGCAAGTACTAATAATTTCTATTTACTCCATTAACCTTTAGATTTCTTGTTTTAAATATAGATATGAGTTATAGATTTCAAATTTTTATACATTTTAAATTTTGTCTTATTTTTTGTTTTGTTAGATATTTATTATTTGTCTCATTTATTCAAATTCATATTACCAACTCAATAGCTCTATTTTCCTACTCTGCAGTCTCTATCTTTATCTAGAACCACTACAGCATCTAAAGATCAACTATTCTCCAATAACCTTCCTCTTACACCTCTTGCTCCCTGCTATCAGATAACTATTCCACCCAAAAACAAATCTTATATAACTACCACCAAAAGAGTAAAATTACAATTTAACTACTACGTTCTATGAAGTTCTAAGCCTATTATTTGTTATTACTTACATAATGAAACTAAAATCAAACCCCTCCACTATAACCACACCTTCTAATTGAGACACATACATTACACTATGAATATTACATTAATCTTAAATCACATCAATCCTTACAATAACAATTCATTCCAATTAAACCTACAAGCCCTCAACCCTCAACATTATACATTTTAAACTAAACTTAAATCAGAACAATTTTTCTGGGAGCTCATTCCAACGTAAAAATGTCTGTGAAAGTACATAAAAGCATCGTCAATCTCAAGCCCTCCCATCAGGAGTTCAAGGAAACAAATGGTCCTCTTATTGAAAGGCAGTAAATCATCAGACGACAGGAACCTATTTCCAAGTGAGATCTTTCTCAAGTCCAGTTGCCATAATATAGCTGTATTAGGTTAGTCTTAAGTCAGAACCAGTGTTCAGAGTGGTTTCAGAGGACATGGACTTCTTAGTATTACTACCTTGAAATGGTGTAAGTCCATGCAACTTACACCTGTTGTTGTATACTATGTTCAGAGCTTTTATTTGCATTCTATGTATGTTGTTTTTAATCTTAACGTTTTCTGCACTGTGTAATAAATAGTTGTATTTTATTTCATGCTTTAGCTGCTCAACCTTTTAGGTTCCTGACTTGATTTTCAGGTTGGATTCCCACCCCCATTTTGTTGTTTCCTGGTATTGACTGGGGAATTTGTTGTAACTGACATTATGTCTCAGAAATTATAGGGTGCGGTCAAATGGACCAGAAAAAATGGGGGCGGGGGAAGTGAGGCTATTTTCTCTAGAGGAATTTGACCCACAGTTGCACAATCACACCTCCCTTTGAAGCTGCAGGCACAGTCTGTCAGTGTGTGATTGGATGCAATTGCGGGTGAGTCAGGGTTTTTTTGTGCCATTTGTTTCCCATGTGCTTAAACGAGAAATTGATGAACCGCACCTCTGCACTGGGGGCTCCCTATGGAGTATGCGATGATGTGCATAGTGCGAGGGGGGGGGACAACAGCACGGAGTCAGGATGGCCTGATCAGACCATCCCAATGCCACGAGAGAGTGCTGGAGTGGTAAGACATGGGAAAGTCCATCTGTGGCCCATTGCAACCCGTTTATTACTGAATTTTCCCCAGTATCTTTTAACTCTGCTTCTGCAGCAGAACAGAACGGGCTGTCGATGGCTGTGGGGCACTTCCCAGATGTTGGTGTCTGATCACACCCTTTAAATCCTCCTGGGATTCGCACCTATGTTGGGTCTAATTGCGTGTATGATTGCAGCCTTGATGTTTTCAGTTACTCAGAAGACCACATAGCCTCATTATTGAGGCAGCCCAATTTTTTTGGTGCAAACATGCATTCTGGTGAAAGTAATGTGTGGGAAAAATTTTAAAGGCCCAATCTTAGGAAAATGAGAATGGATACTCAAGCAGAGGCTCTAAGAGATTGCCGTAGGAATAAAATTATACCGAGGGGGTCATGTACTAAAAAACCTCCAGGGATGTTCCCCCATTATGATACGTTTAGGGACAGATGGTTCGCAATCCTAAATCAGTGTTATGTGGACATGATGATATTGTTAATTGTGACCACAATGGCTGAAAGTTCCAGACTTGAGACAGATACCAAACAACTGCAAGAAAACATAAACACTTCTTAAATGATAATGACTTTACAGCTAAAATGAGCCACTTGGCTAGAGAAATAAAAAAAAAACAATTTGCAGAACTGAAAGATATTAAACTTAAGAAATTCCAGAGGGATAAAAAGGATTATGATGAAAACAGGGTTTATAATAGGACAGCATTTCAAGGTACTGGTACTAAGAAGGCTGCGTCCTTTGATTCCACTCTGGATACTGGTTCTGACTTAGATAAGACAATTATATCTGAAGGACAGAACTTCCATTCATTTGACATGACTGCCACATAACAACTTTAAACACTCTATAATGAGGAAAGAAGATAATTTTTTTAGGTCTGGGCTGAGAACTGAGATCAGGGAAGAGATACAGAAGCCACACCCTGCAAGAAGAAAAAATCTCTCAGAACATATGGCTAGTCAATCTGTCTAAGGTGAAACTGAAACCAATAGAACTTTCTGTACTGAGTAAATGTTTTTCATTTGTGCCAACACCACCATATAATTCTTTTCAATTGGTGTGTGAAGTCCAACACTTGTTAAGAAAAATACGATTAGCAGACTATTTTAAGGAAGATAAGAAATGATTATGGGACTTTAAAGTCAAAGTTCACTTTTAATGGATTTTTGAACCATATCAGGAATGTAGTTACACAATGAGATGTTTGTGATAATGGATGTCATTTCACTGTAAACACTTTTCATTTTCGCCAACAGCACCGTTTAATTCCTTTCAATTGATGACTGAAGTTCAACACTCATTCAGTAAAATAGGATTAGCAGATTATTTTAAGGGAGATAAGGAATGATCATAGTTTTAAAAGTGGATTTGTAGCTCTTATTCCAGGAACTTCTACCCTTCTCCTGTGGTAATAGACCAGGAGAGAAGGTAGACATGCTCTGTAGTATAGAGATTTTTTGGGGAGGGATTGGGTTTTGTTGACCAATTGAAGTTCAGATGTCACCTTGGTATTAAGAGTGTATATAAACATGAGGTGTATACATATTAGCATATAAGAGCACAGACCCAAATGCAGTGACATACAAGTTGGTTATCTTAATGCACAGACCTATACTTTTGATGCTCAAAAAGAGACAACAGCAAACTGCAACTCATCTTTTACCAGCATTCCACAGTATTCATGCAATAGCTTAATTACTTGACCTACAAGTCTGGTTCACTTGAAGCAACTTGATTGCCTTGCATGAATGATACATTCAGAATTTTAATGCAGCCAACTGGCATTTTATTGCTCATGAAAAACCAGCTAGGCTTATGATGGGAAAGTGTTCTCATATTAAAAAGTCTGGCAATTTACACTGAACAAATCACTCAGTAATATAGTAGCTTGTATTTCA